GGGAGCGAGCCTTGATCAGATGGGCTGTTCATCCTGGCGGCCTTGGGCCGGCGAAATAGCGAGGGGGGGGCAGCAAGTCAGTGGAGAACAGCTCCTGAATGTTAAGCGACTGGCCATTGTCTTGGGCGGCCCATCTGTCTGTCCTTTCCTGCTTGCCTATTGTCCACGGCTGTCACAGCTGGACGCCGTGCAGCCTCGACACCCCCCCCCCCCCCACACGCAGTCTCCAGAGCCTCCCACCCTTCGGCTGAAGAAGCCCTCAGTCCTGCTGTCTGACTCCAGGCAAAGGGAGCTGAGCCCCCTTGTCTGCACCAAGGAACCCCCATCCTCCACACCCAAGGGGACCCCCATCGTTCCTCACCATCCCCCACTCCCTGATGAGGGCTGAGAGATCCACCCAAGAGGATCCACCCTTCCGTTTCTACCCACCTGGCCTCCTCCTAGACTTGCTGGAAAAGTAATTCCTGCTCAAAAAGACAGCACACACACACGCACACATTTGCTGACCTATTTCATAGACCGCATCATCCGGTCTAGGTAGAGAGAACCCAATTCAACAAACACTTGTCCATTTATTTATTGAGGAAAATGATGGAGGACTTTTGCACATTTCCAGATCGTTCCTGGGTAACAGCTTTTCAGCATCCCTGTAGCTACAAGATTCTTGCCTTCCCAGGGCAAAATCTGGCATTGCAATGTCAAGACCCTGCCAGTGTGGATCATCTGGTATTTTAAATGCCTCAAACATTCTAATACCAAGCATTTAAAATGGGTGTCCGCAGGGAAGGGGTCTAAAAAGTCACCTTGGTGGCCATAACCATGTGATTGAAGCCCGCCCTTTTTAACAACTGCATGATTGTAACCAGCATCTTGACTTTTTGGACCTCTCTCCCTGCAGACACCCAGCCTGCTTTAAACTTGCTCTCAGGTGTCATCTTAGCAAGCTCGCAAACAACCCTGTGTGCGTATCTGTGTTATTTCTGTACTGTACTGGCGATGGTAAACTGGAATATTGGCTGAATACTGCACTGATTTTATCTGTGGACACGGAAGACGTTTGTAACTAAGGTGAGATCTCATAAACTGAATGTAAGAAGATAAAAAACTTTCACGCTTTGCTCTAAACTCCATGATAAGCTGCCCTGGGAGATACAGTTTTTGAAGGGTGCCATACACATTTTTAAAATGAAAATAATATATGAAAATAAAATAAATTGAATCATAGAATTGGAAGAGGCCTCATCTAACCAGATCTTGATCCAGATTTCCTTAATTTTTTTTCTCCCAGGACCCCTCCCCACTTTAAAAAATTATGCAGGACTCCAAAAGAGCTTTGGTTTGTATGCGGTATATTGATCAATATTTACTGTATTCAAAATGAAAATGGATGCCTTTGCTGCTGCTGCCACTTCTCATGATTTAAAGAACTTATTAAATTTCAACAAGAAGGAAAATAGAGGGAAATAGAGGGGAAAAAAGGGGTGGAAAAAAAGGAAAAAATCAGAAAGGGAGTGAAATTTAAAGTACAAAAAAGAAGTAAGAAAGAAGAAAAAGGATAACTTCCAACATTCTTTGGTACAGGCACAAACATATAATACATTCACCTTTTACGCTAATGCTTAAAATGATACAAAATATGTCTATAACAATAAAAAATTTAAGAAAAAACTAGTACAGAGTATTTCTATAATTATAAAAAATATCAGTCATCAAACCCCAAAATTATAGTTTCGTTTCTTTCCGTTTCAAGCAAAATATTGTATTATTTTTCAACACAGGCTGGCAAACCATTTTGATTTCGCGGATCCTGAGAGGGTCTTGGGGGAACCCCAGAGGGCCCTGGACCCCACTTTGAGAAATGTTGTGCCAAAGCCCTTTGGGCAGGAGCTGCCCAGCCTGTCCGAAGGCCTCCAGCGAAGGGGAATGCCGCCAGTTGCACGGGCTGACAGCTTTGCAGTGAAGACAGTCCTCTGACCTGAATCTATTCCTCTGCAGTTTCAGGGCAACAGAGAACAATCCCATTCCCTTCAGAGGTCGGAAGACTCTTTTCCCTCCTGCAAGTCTTCTCTTCTGCAGGCCACCCATACCCAATTCCTTTAAATGTTCCACCTGGTTTCTCCTCCCCATCTTGATAGCCCTCGGTAGAACTCCCTGATGCCCTTTTTAGATTGCCGGCACAAAACTGAGCAAAGTACTGCGAGGGGTGCCACGGTTTTGTTAGTTAAGCGATGGGATTCATGCAATGCACGGACTGAGCCCAAGCCGAGCCAACCAGGTTACGGCTTAGCATGCTGGATGAGTCCAGCTGTAGATACGGTGTGCAAAGCCAAGATATACCTTGTTAACCGTTTGCACTGACCGGGCAGTGGAGAAACAGCTGGGGGAACCCAGCCTTCGCCAACCCGTTTGGATGAGCCAGGTGGTCTAGCGGGGAAGGCCCCAGGCCAGAAAGCAGGAGGTGGCGAGTTCTAGTCCCGCCTGAGGCACGAAACCCGGCTGGGTGGCTTTGGGCCAGGCCCCCGCCCCGGGCCCAGCCCACCTCACAGGGTTGTTGTGGTGGGAAAAGGAGAGGAGGAAGGAGGATGAGGTATGTTCGCCGCTTTGAGTTATTTATAAAAAAATAATAAAGGCGGGATAAAAAATCTAAAAAAAACCCCACCCCACCCAATGCGTCGGACTATGGCAAGGCAGGCTGAGAGCCATGGGAGTTGTAGTCCATCGCTTGCGGGGAAAGCCGCCTCCTTGAACCGCCTCCCTCGTTCGGAGGCAGGCAGGCCGGCCTTTTCCACCTCTGCCGCCGCTTCGAGGCCCGTCTGCGCTTCCGAGCTGGTCCCCCCTCCGGCGGGGCGCACGCGGAGCCAACGGCG